ATTAGAGGGGCTACTGCCCCACTTCAAACCCCCCAAACAGAAGGGGGCACATCCTTCTGTAGCACCCCCCTTGATGTACCTTTTTTAATATGGTGGGGGAGTGACGCCGAAAAAGTGATCAAGTCAACAACATTTCTTAAAAGAAAAAACAGTGTTTGGGGCCTAAATAGCGCATGTTTTACACTATATGAGGCCTCAATAGAGGTGGTGTGTAAAGCCTTCAAAACATGCCTTTATGAGGTAAAAGGTTATGAGGAACATAACCTTTTTATTGCATCTGCTTCCCTTTATCATAATCTTATCAAAATCCAGTATTCGTTTTTTTAGCTGTACCGCTCGACAGTGATACGATAACTCATTGCTAATGACGTAACAAATTTCACGTGCAGACGGTCTGCCTTTGCTCGAGTGCAGGTGCAAAATGACCGAAAGTTACCTTTATATGGATTTTTACATAGTAGGAAGTCGGTTGATATTAGATATTGACACACTTGCTCAATACCGCCTAATATTGACAATCTTGAGGCAGCATTAATGCATTTTGAATGCATTTTTTTACTATTTAAAGTAAGATATGCAATAATTATTAACAAATTCTGGAAAGGGTGATCCTTCGATAACAACGAGAACTTTGTAAACACACAAAATTGCTCAGTTCGTGCCACTCAGATTTTTTCATGAGCAGGAATGAAAATCTGGATTATTCGCAGTTGTTTCCAGCAAAGTACCTCCGAACTGCATATTCCGTACATAAGTATACACAATAAGAAATATTTAAAAATTAATGTGGTAAATACTCTGTGTTAACTACTTGCAATTTACTCTATATTGATAACCAATACTCGTTACACTAAAAAGCAATACTCGTGACACCGGCAGGCAACTCCAAAGCAATACTCGGTACACTGACATGTGTATTTATTCTCAAAATGCTCTGTCATCTGAGGTTCTATTGTTGAATGAACATTTACAACATAAAATTTATCATCATTTTCACATTTCACTCGATTCAAGTTTTTCTTTTAAGGTAGTAATTGCACAAAAACGTCAAATTTGACTGATCCGAGCTCATTTATCACGTGAGGAAAGAGACGAATTTTACCTCCTAATTACATTTCAAAGCTATTTGTCAACATTTTTGGGGTTTCAATAACTAGCGAAATTATCGAAGTATTTGTTTTTCTATAAAATTTATATCAAACCATTTCAAAATGACTAAATAACGTCACTTAACTTACCTTCTTTCCTCGTTCAAAGTCGCGAAATGGGACGTCCTCATAATATCGAGCAATATCCGGGGTACGGTATACCGCAGTGATGATGGTACATAACTGAGTCATAAGTCAATTCACTTTGTTACTTAAGTGTGCCAATGAAAAAGGAAACATTTCAATATGCTGTGGATTATGTCAATACATAGAACTATGAGACTGAAAATATTTAAGCTGTAGAGCTGCTGTATGGTATTCCAAGGGTTCTGGGTTTTTTGGTAGTGCTGAGGTATGGTATTCTGAGTGTCTCTGGTTTGAGTTTTAGTCAGTCTGCATTTCATTTTCTCACTCTTTGATATTGATAAATATTTTCAGCTCATTATTGGCTGGACTGCATATATTAATGATTTATTTGTATTAAATCAATATTGTTAAAAATTTAGTTATTGTCTATATATGCATGTGACTTTATTTTTGATAAGGCATTGTAACAGTACTACTTCTTAATTTGACCTTTTTTGTATTTGGGGAGAAGCCCTTAATTAACTCCTTACCAGTAAGTTTTATTGTACACGATGATGATAGCTTGAAAGGATTTAGCTAAAAAAGATACTACATGAATCTTTTTTTTCCTATTGGATTGTGAAATATTTATTGATTGTCAAAAAAACTATATGGAGTTCTCCTCGGTGAACATTAAACAGTCCCAGCTGGCCATACATGCACGACCTTGCAGACCATAGAGACAGGATGGTCTGTACCAAGACAAATCCGATATCGAGACCAGGTGGACAGGACAGACAGTGATGTTCAGAGATCCCCCACTCAGAAAGGAAGTTACTACACTCAAGGTCCTGGTCTTCAATTACTTCATTTGCTTACTTGGAGTAAAGGTGCCGGAAACAATAGTATGGTATCACAAAAAGCACAGACTGTGATAAAAGTCAAACCAAAAAAGATACTATAACTGAATTCATAGATTATATAAAAGAAATTTATTAATTCTTTAAGTTTATAGTTAACAAAAAAAGATACTGAGTATTTAATTTTGATATATAGCATATTAACACACACAAAGTGCATTATGCCATATAAATTTCAACTTAGTGCTTAAATACTTTCTGATGAACTCAGTAAGCAAACATGATTTACTAATCTTTGGATTCCCACACTCCTCTCCACCTAGCTCCAATGAGATCCACTTGGTTGACCATAACATGTACCATACCTCATATTGTTTGTTTACAGTTTGGAATGAAAAAATGAAAGTTTATTCTAGATATTATATTAAGCTTAATTTTATTAAATTTCACAAGGCTTTCAACACATCAACAATGTAATTGTCATTTTATTTTTTGAAAATGTGTTGGACTGCTGGTCTGATGCATGTAGATGCTGTGTTGGCATATATATAGCGATTCCCCTCTTTTGTGTGTGTGTGTGTGCATGCATGCGTGCATGTGTGTGTGTTTTATACATTATGTAGTTAACATCTTTTGAAAACATCTTGTCCAATTTAACCAAATTTGACAGGGTTGTTCCATGAGTAAAGGGCTTCCAAAGTTGTTCAAAGACTTAAATGAGGCCTAGAGCATAGATATTTTGCAAAAGGCATTGTCTGGTAGACATTCACAAGATTTTCACATTATACCCTGGGTGTCAAATTAGCCCTGCACTAGGGTTCATAGATTTTCCTGATATGTATGTAGTTAAAACTTAAAATCTTCTCCTCTGAATTGACAAAGACTAGAGGTTAGATATTTGTCATGAAACATTTGGTAGTTAACCTCTACCAAGATTATTCACGTTACAGCCCAAGGGTCAAAATTAGCCTCACCCCTGGGGTCATATATTAAGGTTTTCCTTATATGTATATAGCAAAAAACTTTTTTAAAATCTTTTTATCAGAAGGTTTAAGGCTTAGAGCTTTAAAGATACTTGGTAAATAATATCATAAGTACGTCCTTTACCAAAGTTGTTCAAATGTTGCCCTAGTGAAATAGCACCAGGGTGTCATAGGTTTTCCTTAAATGTATAAACATGTATAGAAAAAAAAAAACTTAAAAAATATTCTCCTCTGGATTGACAAAGGCTAGATGTTTTGATATTTGGCATGAAACCTTTACGTGTGTAATAAACCTCTATCAACTATTGTTCAAATTATAGCCCTGGGGTCAAAATGGCTCTGCCAAGGAGTCTTTTTGGGTTTTCATTATATGGTATGTATACAATATTTTTTTTTTTTTTAAAATCTTGTCTGAAGGTACAAGGTTTACCAGGCACCATGGTGTCTTAGGATTTCCTTAAAAATGTATATACATATATAGAAAAAAAACTTAAACAGTATTCCCCTCTGAATTGACAAAGACTAGAGGTAAGATATTTGGCATGAAGCATTGTGTAGTCGACCTCTACCAAGATTGTTTTAATTTTAGCCCTGGGATAAAATTTGCCTTGTAGGGGGGGGGGGGGGTCATTAATTTTCGTAATGTACTTGTAGTAAAAATTTAAGAATGTACAAGGCTAGAGCTTAGGGCTTTGATGCCTAAATTTTGTTAAGTACAAATGCTTTTATTTTGAATCAATAATTGCACTATGGAGTGCATTTTTTCCAGTGAATGCGTTTTGCATGTAAACAAAAATGTTCACCTAACTTTTAAGTCTTGCTGAATGATTCAATACCCTATTTTTGTAGACTACAAACCCACATGTTGGTCTTGTTTTTAAAGTAATAGATAAAAACACTTAAGACTCTATTTTACTATTTTAGCATTGTATACTGCAGATAATAAACCGGTTTTTGAAAACTGATTTCTGTATTGCTCTTCAATTTCGCAAACCATATAGTATTGCCTGGAAAAACACAGCACTAGTCTGTAGGAACAACACCTCTTTCTTGTCCTATTAATAACTTGAGAAGAAATAAGCCTAGATTTGTGTTCGAAATTGATTGTAACCAGCAGATGACTTCTATTGAGTTCAGTAGATTAAAATCACATGGTCTTGATGTCAAGCAATGTATACCTCAGTGCTTGCAGTGCTTTGATTTTTAAATAATATAGAACACATACAAAACAGTTGACAGTTGTGTAACAACCGACTAATAACATTCAAGTATAATCTAGAAGCTTTCACATTTTTAATTGAATAGTTGAAGGACAATATAGAAAATTTCAAAATGACCATGTTAAAATTTAAAGCTTTACTAAACAAAATATGTAAAAACAATTGTAAAAATGTAAATTGAATAAATAATTTGTCATAAACAAAATCTCATAAAAGTAGGTTTTTTGTTATAATTTGACAAACACATGCCTGAAATGGTACTGTAAATATGAAATATATACCTGATTTTAAAGTTGGTATAGTTAAAGAAACGATACCTCAAAAACAGATCATTACGAAACGGTTTTCACGTAATGCGGTCCTAGCCGACTGGTTAAGGTCCTTGACCTCAAACCACCAGCTCCTCATCGCCGTGGGTTCGTACCCGCCAGGGACTTGGATTGTGTCATACGAGGAAGCAACTCTGGTGCCCATCAATGTCTAAAATACTGCACGGAGGGGCATTTTAGGTCTTTTTCCGCCAATATAAAGTTTGAAAATCGCCATATGACCTTTGGTAAGTGTGGCTGCCATGTGAACACTTATAAAAAGACCTTTATTACACTTTTCAAAAGATTGGCCGGTTTGATAAATGCGTGCGTTCGCATTTTGAGCATGCATGTATTCTGCTAAATGTTGGCATTTCTATTTTTTACAATAGACAACCGTTAGAAAATGGTTTACCCTCTGCAGCCTCAGCTAATTCAAGATCATATACATCCCTCGGGTCTACCAAAAATATCTCATGCAGAAACTCTGCTATCTGTTTTTTCCCCTCAAAAAGCCCTGCAAATTCCAAGAAGCTGTATCCTATGCTAATTTCAAAACCTGTTTTCGCTTTAGTGTCTGAAAAAATAAAAAACACATCCTGCTGCATAATAGAATTCTATATTTGCGGTAAGGAATAAAAATCATTATAATTGTTTTTTATGTTGACGTGATCTATTTTTTTGCAGATTTGTAGATCTGGAATTCTAGTTAGAGAACATGATGAGAGTCACGTGTTATGTACTGAAATATAAAAGTGAAATTCTTACATCGGCTGCCGGTATAGACCGGAATTTGTAACCCCAGGGAGACTGTTTATTACAACTGAGAGCCGTTTTTATTGCACATTTCTCAACAATAATTCTTTTGAAATAGATTGAGAAAACTGATATATTCCTTTAGCTTATGCAATGGTAATCGCGCACCTGCAAAATTCTTCAAATCTGGCTGGGATTTTGTAAACATCCCGTCGACTCGTAGGTAAAATATGTTTTTATTCTAAGAAATCGTTAGACGGGATAAGGTTTTTTACCCCTAAATGCTCTCACTCGGACTCCCATCAAAGTCAAGGTCAAAAGAGAGGTGAAAGTTTGTGTACAGGGACCATTTAGTCATCATTTATTTATAGATTGTAACAGAAATGATGAACTATCTTGACTACACGTGTGAAATATGTAATTGAGGTTAATTTTTGCAAGGTCAAGGTCACTAGAGATGATAAAATATCCAGATATTTTTCGGATATTGCACAGAGCATATTTCCTATATGCATATCTATAAGGCCCACATCTCTGTCAAAAGCCTTTGTGAGGGACGTATTTTGCGACAATGTTGCCCTTGTTTTATTCCAAGTCACGTTGGTTTGCCATCAAATCTTAACTCAACTTATTTGTTTTACATGAAGCAAAAAGTGTAGCGGTAATTTGTTGATGTTCCTGGAATTAGCAGGAGTTGATCATTTCTACCCATACACCGCCTGTCATTAGCTAAACAGAATGGAGAATTTAACCATATTATGGTTATACGACGAAAGACCTTTAAAAGGGGCGTCTACAGGGCACGCGATTTGCCATGTTTGTGTCGGGTTACTTAAATACAGAACTGAAATACTGTCTTATAATTATGTACGAAACTGTAGGCTCCTGCGGGGGTTATGGACTATTTCTCTCTAGAGCTCTATTGTGCATGAATTTATTTCGCGAAAAAGGCAATACCTAGTATTTTTTGAAAATGCTAATACTTGTTTTAATGATATTGGTAAACCACCCTTTGACCCTTTGTCAATGCGATTTTAAAGCACCGGTGTAAACATCAGAAATCGTATCAGATATACAAGAGAAAACATATTCGCAAAGTTAATGTTGGTATTTATTTTTCTCTACATGTCACAGCATATTAATCAGCTAAATGTCAGTTTGTTTTTCATAAAAAGGTATTCCTTCCTTTTAGGCTCTTGATACAACGAAAACCAATATTATTTATTTACCCATTTTTATTACATTTTGTAATTTCTATTTTTCCATAACCATCTTAACGGGATACACTTATCGTCATATTCAGAGAATATATATTCATTTACTATATACATGTATATATATGTGTTTTTGATTTATTTTCAGATTTAGGAGTTGTGTCAGACTTGTTCAAATTAAACAGCAACACAAAAAATAGAGGGCCATGATGGCGCTAATATCGCTCACCTGAATATTGATAATGTCCATGAGAAGGAACAAGTGACATTGTTAAACTATAAACAAAAGCAGATAGAAAATCTAAATCTTAAACTGATATCACAAAGTTCATATTTGTATCTGAAATATTGCACATGTTAAAACATTACTGGTTGCTTTTGCTACGTGAACACAACAGTTACATAAGAAGTCACAATCTCCTACGCAGTGATCTCCCCTGACAGGATTAGATCTCTGCCATCACAACATTTTCGTCAACATTTTTGACGATATGAATTTTTTCAATTTTTATTTTTATTTTAAAAAGTAAACACGGTTTTGTTAATGTTTCAAGACCGTTAGGTGTTAGATGTGAACTAAAATAAAAAATAATTTTGGAAACATAAATATTATGAAAATAATTTTTAAAAATTTTAATACCGCACCGTTTATTTCCAAAACAATGGCCCCTCTCGTTCAAGTAATTATTAATTTCGACTCTTCGCTTTACGAAAATGATTTTCTTTCAATCATATCGACATATTTGAGACCAGAGTTCAAGTTTTAATGTCGCTGTTTATTACAGATAAAACATTTTTTCAACGATTTTATTGGCGTATACGCAATTTTTACACAATCATGTGATAAGACCATCATCACGTTATTTGTGTGAAGGCAGTGGTTACTGGCCGTAGCGTTACCGGTGCGCGGAGTTTGAAGAAGTCACTGGTTGCTGTACAAAATAAATAAAATCCAATTGTAGATAAGATAATGTTTGCTATGGAAGTCAGTGGTTGCTATGAAATACATTTCTATAAAGTAAATGGCTGCTACGAAGTCACTTGATGCTATTGAAACTAAGTTTTAGCTTCTGTAGATTTAGAGATGTTTTTAAAAAGATTTTACAATAAATGGAAAATCTATGTTCCCCGGGACAGAACAAATTTTGACCGGAGGGCTATTATTTGAAAACAAAATATAGAGGTCCACTGTAGAGGCCACATAAACATAAGATTTATGATATAAAACCATAAAAATTTGTAACAAGGTCTTAACATAAGACATAACTGCAGTTAAAATTGCATTTACAGATGTAATGCAATGTAAATTATAAAAGGAAAATTACCACCCGCAGATAGCTTGGGCTTATCAGCAATTAATGTGGTTCCTGCAATACCAAAGCTAATTGTAGTGAATACAATAGCATCAATGGGCATGATTATACAATGTGTAATTTTTTATGTAGTTTAGTAGTCAAAGAAATCAATGAAATAATTGGGCACCTTCTGTGAAAAGCATGTAACTTGGCTTGGTGGCAGGAAATAGTATTTCGGTTCATTTTAGCCTGAGATTCACTTTTTAAAAATCCAAGATGGCCACCAAAATGACAAAATGAAATTATTTACGGCATGAAAAAGATATAAATTTACATTGTAGGTTAATGATAGTAATTTCTTGGAAAAATGTTTTTTAGTAGCATCGGTATAAATTCCATTTTGGCTTCAAAATCCAAAATGGCCACCATTAAATGATGCGTTTTTGACAAATTTCTATGAGAAAGATGATATGGGGCTGCATTCTAGCGTCAACGCTCTTAATTTTTTTGTTAATTTCTTCCTTTTATATTTTATAGCAGTGGATATACCAGATAAAGCATTTCATAAGCATATGTCTTTCCTGATATTACAAATGGTTGCTTTTTAATCACAGACTTTTTTCCAAAAGCAATTAAAGATCCTGTAGCACATTTTTAATGGTTTTATATTATTAATATAATGCTCAAAGTAGATTTATCAATATTATATATTCCAAAAAGCTAATGAAAATAGAAAGCTAAAAGCTGACAGTAAAACCGTCGCTGAATCTATTTTGGATCTTAAATGTCGCTCGATGCGGGACAACTTACTTTTTTTGGAATCCCTGAGGGATTTTCGTCTGATCCGGTTTTCTCTGACACCGATAGTCCAGTGATGACAGACCAAACTAGTTCACAAGAGCCTAATCAAATTGAAAAAGTGTGCTGAAGGTGTTTGTTGTTTGTGCAAATAGGTGGTCTTGAAAATAGATAACTTCTCAAAATCCCGTATAAGTATATGGATCAGAGGATCACAGAATTGGCAAGATTACCTAGGGGAAAAAAACAAGAGCCATGATGGGCCTTTTAAGTTTGACAATGATCTCAATTTTATTTTTTATTAACAAGAATTATGCGCTTTAAGGTTGCTAAATTAGAGAGACGACAAAACTACAATGTGACTGATGCAGTACCGGCAAGGAATTAAGATAGACGCAAAGAACGGTCATGCCGCGGGGGATGGGTTTAGGGTGTAAATAAGGCTCGTTTTGGTTTTAGTAGTATATAATTATTAATATAATAACGTGCATATATACATAGGGCAGTTCCAATGAAAGCAGAGAAAGGTATGGGGACTAGTTAAGCAATTGTTTCTTGGAATATAGAAGGCTTTAATACATGTATAAGTGACGATGACTTTTTTGAATTTTGTTTTGGATGATGATGTAATCTTTTTAAGTGAAACATGGCAAAAAACTATCGAAAACTTTTCATTAAATAGATATACATTATTTTCTGTTCCAAGACATGAGAGTATAGGTTCAAGAAGAGGACACGGTGGTGTTTGTCTTTTTTATAAAAATAATAAGTAACGGAATTTCTTTAATTGAAAGTGATAACTCTGGTTTTATATGGATCAAGTTATGTAAAGATGTTTTTGCGTTCGATAATGATCTTTATTTATGTTTTGTGTATATACCACCTTGTAATTCTGTGTATTTTTTGTCTCATGACATAGCATTTTTTGAATTATTAGAAAGTAAAATGAGGAAATTCCAAGCATTGGGTTAAGTGTCAGTAATTGGTGATTTAAACTCGAGGTGCGGAGAGCGTACTGAATTTTTGCAGAATTCTTGCACTTTTGAAAAATATATACCAGTATTAGAAAATAATGAATTTGACAGTATGAACTATAACCTCCCTGTTAGATTTTCTATGGACAAAACTTTAAATTACTCGGGCAATAAATTATTAAATATATGTCTATATATGTAGTGACTTAAAAATCGTTAACGTCCGTATTGGTGATGATGCGGGTGTAGGCAGTTATACGTTTATGTCAAATGTTGGGTATAGCATAATTGATTATGTGTTAATGTCATGTGACATTTTTCATTACATTAAAGATTTTATTGTTCATGACATAAATCCATGTTCTCACCATGCACCTATACAGATAAATTTGTGTATAAAAATCATTGTGAAAAGTCCTTAGGTAAGGACACTTCTGTTGATAAAAACGTGTTGAGAAATGTAAAATGTTTAGAGTATAAAAATTTAATTGACCTAGAAAAAGATAACCTAGAAGTATTGTTGATAACATTATTTTTTCCAATATAGATATAAATTCTGGAGTAGATCAATTTGCAGATATCTTTTACAAATGTGCATATAGCGTTTTTGGTAGGTCAGTAAATGTCTCAAATTTAAATCGTAAACGCAAATTTAAAAGTCCGTGGTTTACGCAAGAATGCGAGACGGCTAAACGTGAATTTCGTTCAGCCTCGAAGTTATACAAAAGCAATAGATCTACTAATAACAGTGACATTCTTCTTGGAAAAGACGCATTTACCGTTACACTAAACGTAAGGCTAAAACGAAATTTAAGGCAAATCAAAAAAATAATTTGCATAAATTAGCTGCCACACAACCACAGCAGTTTTGGAAAGAAGTGAATAATTTAAAAGTTAAAAAGTCAAAAAACAATAATATAAGTTCGGAAGTTTTTCTTATCATTTTAAAGACTTTTTTCGGAAAATGATGATGTTGAGAATATTTTGTCTAATGATAGCAACGTATCTAATGTAGAGCTGCTCGATAAATCATTTACTATAGTAGAGGTTCTAAAATCAATGTCGGCATTAAAGAGGGGGAAAAGTGGGGGTATTGATTGTTTAATTCCTGAAATGTTTATTGACAGTAAAGATTTGTTAGCCCCATTATTATGTAAACTTTTCAATCATATGTATGTAAATTGTATATATCCAGTTGGTTGGGCAAAGGGCATGATTGTCCCTGTTCCACAAAAAGGTGACACAAACGATGTTAACAATTATAGAGGTATTACTCTCACTAGTATTTTCTCAAAAATATTTTCAGTTTTGCTAGATACAAGGCTTCGCTCATGGGCAGAATCAAATGAATTATTATCAGATTTTCAATATGGTTTTAGAAAAAACAAAAGCACAATTGATTGCATTTTTGTTCTGTCTTCGATTGAAGATATAGTTATCTCCCTCGAAAAAAAGAAAGTTATACTGTGCTTTTGTTGACTTTAAGAAAAGCTTTCGATGTTGTATATAGAAATGGTTTATGGTTAAAGTTATTAGAATCAGGTGCTTCGACAAAACTTGTTAAAATGTTGCAAAAATGTATGAAAATGTAAAAAGTTGTGTACGTGTTAATGGTATGTGTTCTGAAAGTTTTGATAGTGTTAAAGTTGTTTAACAAGGCGAGCCTTTATCGCCGTTATTATTTTTGTTTTTCATAAATGAAATGTATCAATGTATTCTTGATGACACAATAGATTCGTTTTGTTTAGAGGAACTGAAATTTTTCCTTTTACTTTTTGCGGACGACACTGTGTTAATGTCATATTCTTCTGAAGGGCTTCAACGATTGTTAAATAATTTATTTGTGTATTGTAACAATTGGGGTATAACAGTTAACATTGATAAAACAGATGCTATGGTTTTTAAAAAGGGAAATTATCCAGAACATTTTGAAGTATTTTATATCAATTGTCAGCTCAATAATGTACGTACTTTTACATATTTAGGTGTAACGTTATCTTCTAACGGATGTATTTATCAAGCTCAGAAATCATTATCACAACAAGCACAAAGAGCATTGTATTCTCTTAATTATTCGATGTTGTATCTTTCAATATTTCTGACCAAAATTTCAAGATACATTTAAACTTAAACATGATTATTTTACAAAAATATACACCCTGTCCAAAAGTTTGACCTTCCCTTGTACAAGATGGCGAATGGAACGGTAGACTGCTAAATTCCGGTACAACCGTCATCTACCGTAAAAAATTTAAACCATCAAGAATTACTCCCCTTGTAACGTGTTCAAGCATATAGGGCTTAAACAGTATTACAAGGAAAACTAACTCTAAACAAAAAACACAAAAATATATCAAAATTTGATACTTGTTTATTTTATGAATGGGAGAATACGGCCATGGCTCAATGAAAACTTAATTATTATTTTACATACAAAAGAGCGAAGAAAGCCCTGGGAACAGATGCTGACTTCGTTCCTTTTTACTTAATACAGCACAAAAAAGGCTGGTGGCGAAAACTAAAAAACGCCACATGGCTGAATAATGACTAAATCAATTCAGCCATATCGCCACCACAGAAAAAAGAAAAATTGAAATTCCACCCAATAATGTTTAATTCCTGAGCCATGGGCCATCTTCTCCCACCAAAGGTGAAACACTTGCATTGTCTTTCAAGAAGGCCTGAACAGCCTGTTGTAACCTGTACAAAAATAATTCATTTCCCATGTGAGATAAATGAACCCCATCATCTCTAAACAGTCCAGTACTGGAATCAGTGATTTCGGGGTAACGAATATAACCACCACCTAATGCAATAACTTTAGTGGCTATGTAACTATTAAGGCGTTTGCGAGCCTTTTCCATTGCTTGATGGGATATCTCATTGCGCCATTTCTGCCTTGGCAAAATTTGAGACCATACAAAAGTTACATCAGGCATTTCATGTTTAAGGATTTGAATTGTTCTTAAAATTTTTCTTCTCAGTAGTAATACTGGTACTTGAGCAATATCATTGCCACCACAATGTAAAATTAAAATATGTGGTCGGTCCTCAAATTTCAATAAATGATGAATACGATTATAAACCTGATACCACCTCATGCCGCCCTTGCCCTGCCAGAATAACGAGGCATTGTGACGTTGTAAATCCAATTGTGATCCCCCTATATGATTAACCCGTGCATGATAAGCAGCCCACTTGATTATTGATGAACCAACAATCCATATGACCTTCCTAGGTACTGCAATTCTTAAAAATCTAAGTTAGATTTCCTGCAGCCACCAATCTACTGTGACTAATATAATTGTGAACAGACAATTAAATAGTTAGCTTTGAGAAATAATTTTGTTTACCGGTATTCTTATATAACTCTTAAATGCGCTTGATTGCCACCTACCAAGACCCTTTATTTCAGTGTCTGACAAACCCGCTAAAGCAGCTTCAGTGGCTGCACCTATTCTAAAGGAGTGAGATTTGATGTTTGTTTTAGCAAGGCCTAGAGCGCTTAAAGCCTTTTTAAGCACAGCATTAAATTGATAACGTGATACAGGTTGCCCTGAAAAATGGCAATAGAAAGGCCCTGGAAGTGATGGACGAACTAATTGAAATTGCTTTACAGCCATAACTGGACAAAATTCACCACCAACAGAAGAAATCTGTACTAACGCACCTTTTCCTGTTTGATCAGTTTTAGATGATTGTACAAAAATTTGTAACATGTCAGAAACAATTGAAACATTGTCAACTGATATAGCATGCTGCACATCAGGGGATTTTGACAAAACTAATTCACTTAGCCTAAAAAATCCGAAATAAGCTGTGAGAAACATAGATTTGAACAACGTTTCTTCGTATTTGGAAATACAGATAGCTGGTAGAATTGACACTAACTTCCCAAGTAAGTCAAAAGTTATTGGAAGCCTATTATCAACCCTTAACGAACTTTTGTCTAGGCCATTAAGAAGTTTACGTACAATAAACTTTTGAGTTATATCTTCAATATTGTTAATCTTGCAATGGAATGCGATACCAGATACATATTGCCTAACTGTTCTTGGGGCACGACCAATCAAAGAATTGTAAGCAATAAATCTAATCATTTGCTCCAATGGAGGTGGCCAGGTTAGTAACATTTGATGTCTTGTTCTGAATTGATTGAAAACTTCAATAGCATTTGTATATGCCTTGTGAGTATTGCTAGATAAACTGGAATCTAATAGTTTGTCTGCCTCAGCCCAGAGAGCAGATTCCGAAAACTGTCCGGGACCAAAGTGGCTTGCTGATCGGCATCTGGTGCCAGACGACGGAACCTGTCCCACTGCTTACGAGAAATAGAGTCAGCAATGCCATTATTTAAACCTGACACATGCACAGCTTTTATTTGGATATTATTCAACATCATATTTAAAACAAATGGGCGAAGCAGGTACATAACATACTTAGATTTTGAAGATTTTTTGTTTAAAATTGTAACTAAAGCTTCATTATCCGTGTTAAGGATAATTTTCTTACCCTTAAAATTGGGAAGCCAAATGTGAAAGGCAAGTGCTATGGGAACAAATTCTAGAAATGACAGATCAGCCATGATTGGTGACTTGCACCACTTTTTTGGCCATTGCATGAACACCCAATGCTTGCCAAACATTGCGGCACAACCTAAACTTAATGTGCCTGAGCTGTCTGTATATAATTGTAACACAGAATTATCGGACCAATTTAACTCTGGAAAAATGCAAGACCCATTGAAAAAAATCAATGAAGAAAAGCCACATTTTTAAATCCTCTTTGATTGAGTGTGTAAGTCTTAAACGATGGTTTGGCTTTAAAATGCCACATGTAGCATCATAGAAACGTCTGTTAAATGCCCTAGAGCAAGGTATTGCCCTTGCACAGAAATCTAATAAACCTATGAGGGATTGAAATTCCTGTAATGTTGTCTTTTTTTTTCTTAAGGAATAGGATTAGCAACTCCGAAAGCTTTACCAGTTTCTCTGGCGGTATTCGAAGTTGCATCAGGATTGAATTTAGCTCAAAGCCCAAAAACACGAGAACTTTACTTGGCCAAACTGTCTTATCATCAGCTAAAGGTACACCTAAAGCCTTACAAATACCTAAAAATGCATTCATGAGATTCATACAGTCATTGGTGTCAGGTTTTCCCATGAAAATAAAATCATCCAAATAATGGTGGACTATGCCGTTTGGAGCCTTAGCCATTACTAACCATTCTAAGAATTTTGCAAACTTTTCAAATAGAGCACATGACAAAGAACACCCCATAGGTAAACATTTATCGATAAAATAAGAACCATTCAGAGTAAAGCCTAGTAAGCTAAAATCATTAGGATGTATAGGTAAAATCCTAAATGCATTCTCTATGTCAATTTTTCCAAGTAATGTATTACATCCTAGTAAACTGAGAGAATCAATGACTTTATCAAGAGAGGTGTACTTAACTGAACATAATGTGTCATCTATATAATCATTTAAACTTGAACCCTTTGGAAAAGATAAGTGATGAATCAAACGCCATGATCCGTTCTTTTTTGGAACAAGGCCAATTGGTGATAACCTTAGATTTTTTTAAAGGCCTCTCTTTAAAAGGGCCCGCTATTCGCCCTGCTCTGACTTCTTTCATAATCTTATTAACTGCCTCATTTGGATTTTGAATTACTGACTTTAAATTCTGACAAGAGGACTCAACTCTGGGCCCCTCATACATAAGTTTAAAACCAAACATAAAACCATTTCTTAAAAGTTCAGCATCCGTCTTGTTTGGATACTCTGCTAAAAAATCTTGTAGAACCTTAAGATTAATTGGCGACTTTGCCAGACCAAGGGACGAAGCTGTTACTTCCACTTGCTCTAGCTCCTTGATTAGGACTTGACCTGCTACTAGAAACATTTGGTCTGTTTAATTTCAATTTACAAGATTTACTTGGATGAGATTTGCTACAGAGTATACATAAATGACAATAATTGCAAGGTGCTTTATTGCAAAAGCCTTTGAAATTAAAGTCATAACACTTCTTAATCTGATTAGGAGAACTTTTAACTTGAGAGGAGCTACGACTATTGTAAACATACAATAACCACAATTCCTGGTCAACTTTAAACCATGGCAATGATGGGTTACGAGCCTTTTTGTGCCTAAACTGTTCATCATAGCTTAGCCAACCTTTACCCATGACTCGTGAAGCTGCCAAACGAACATTGTACATGTATTTTAAGAGACCCTGGCTTTCATTGCAATGTACCGAACTGTAGACGGAAGCATAAATCAAAAAGGCATCTGTCCAAGCATGAATATCTAAGGAAGATTTAGTCCTTTTCTCTTTTACTAGAATATTGCCATCAATAACAACAACTTGCTTGTCATCTGAGTCCTTATTAGAGGGTAAAAGTGTATGTAACTCGACAAACTCTCCATTAATAATTTTTGTTTTAGTCCCATTACTCAAATGAACCCCTAGATTGTCTTCTAAAGAAGGCTCACCTGACATAGTGTCATCAATTTGTTCAGCCCCATGCTGTATCTGCTGAGGGACATGCATTTTTTCAGCAACTTTTTCCGCCACTTGGTCCAACTGCTGATCAGACAACTGGATGACATTACATGTACTTGATGTAGGGACTGACGCTTCATCACCTGAAGCCACTTTCCTCTTTTTAGCTTTAGGCATCTGTAACGGTTATAGTGTTCTAATAACAAACAAATAACTGAACTATACATATATACATTGTAGCAAATCATATACACAAGCAGGCCAACACCTGCAAATTAAGATTACCAACAGACGCAAAGTTAACGACTGTTTATGTGGGAACAAAATTCATCAGACATTAACTCTATCACAATTACCCCACATTTCAAAAGTATACAAGTGGTCAAACACCTGCATCAAATAGATTACCAACAGATGCCCAATTGGCAACTGTTTACATGGGCAATCAAATACAAAATAAATGTGAAATGAAATAATAATCAAAATATACAAGTGGTCAAACACCTGCATCAAATAGATTACCAACAGACGCCCAATTGGCAACTGTTTACATGGGCAATCAATGCAAAATAAATGTAAAATGAAATACAAGTGGTCAAACACCTGCATCAAATAGATTACCAACAGACGCCCAATTGGCAACTGTTTACATGGGCAATCAATACAAAATAAATGTAAAATGAAATACAAGTGGTCAAACACCTGCATCAAATAGATTACCAACAGACGCCCAATTGGCAACTGTTTACATGGGCAATCAATACAAAATAAATGTGAAATGAAATAAGTACCTAAATATACAAGTGGTCAAACGCCTGCATCAAATTAATTACCAACAGACGCCCAACTGGCAACTGTTTATTTAGGCACTCAAAAACGAAATAAATTGAAAGAAATACCATATTAACTCTAAATATGTATGGTATTCAATACATTCTGCACCCAACAGTGACATGTATTCTGCACCCAACAGTGACATGTATCATAATATAAATTTGACATGAAAATAAATGCCAAGTTACATATTATCTAAATATGCATGACATTGCCATTAAAAAAAAAATACAACACTGAACAGTAGCATTTTAAATACTTCTATATCCTCTACCAGACAAAAAACATTTGTCCACAAAATTTGTAAGCTACTGCCAGGCAAATTGAAAAAAAAAAAAAAAAAAAAAAAAACAGAAAATAAAATGGCACCACAGCCAGAGTGCATAACCACAACAGAGAATCACAACCCTGATGGGCTACTTGGCACCGCCAGGAACCTTGTTTATTTGACATCTTGAATAATATAGATCTATACTATACCACCTTCGACCTAAGAAAAACCTTTTGTCAAGCTGTCAGACACAGGGATGATGAACCAGAGATAAAGGATGCTTCAACTGTAAAAGACTGTTTAAAATTAAAAAGTAAATAGAGTGATCAAGAAACTTTAATCTTTGCATAAATAAATTTAGTGGTCTCGCACCACTTCACATTACTTCAGTGAGCAGGCCTGCGTTCGACCTAATGATATATTATAATCATATAGCCTAGCTCAATCAATAAATTTTCAATCAAATAAATGTAATAAATAATCTTACATCCTTCTAACATTGGTAGAACTACCGATGAAATCATTTTCCGATAACGGCTGCTTAAACAATGTGATCAAAATTGCCAATCAGCCTAGCTCAAACACTTATAATTCCAATTACCTATTAAATTTCCAGACAATTAAAGTGTACATATATAATCAAACATCCAAATCTAACATTTGTAGAACTACCGACGCAAATATTTTCCGATAATGGCTGCTTCCTATACAATGTGATAAAATTTACTAAATCAAAATCCGCGTCAATCCACATATAAAACAATGTAAATAAATATCAAAAGTATTCCTGCTTATTTACAAATGTTTAATCCATCCATTATGACCAAAATTTCAAGATACATTTAAACTTAAACATGATTATTTTACAAAAATATACACCCTGTCCAAAAGTTTGACCTTCCCTTGTACAAGATGGCGAATGGAAAGGTAGACTGCTAAATTCCGGTACAACCGTCATCTACCGTAAAAAAATTTAAACCATCAAGAATTACTCCCCTTGTAACGTGTTCAAGCATATAGGGCTTAAACAGTATTATGGTTGTGAAGTGTTTGATTTTCATAAGGCACCAGATATTGAAAAGGTTCATATAAAATTTTTAAAACAAACTTTATAATTTTAGCACAAACATCAAATGTTACATTATATGGTGAATTTGGAAGACTTCCAATATATTTTATGCGTAAGTTAAAAATGATTAAATATTGGTTTAAGATAATGTCAAACACAGATTCCCTTATCAAGGGGCAGGACGTGAAGTGGTTGCACACTTGGTTCAAGCGAGCGAATTGGTTGCAAACTTGACAAAATGGCGAACACGGCTTGATTTTTTTTAAACGGGTGAACGAATTATTGCCAGACAAGTGGGTTTCTTTGTTATATTGAAGTTCATTAGTATGTCTATTCCAAAATGCAATATATATGCCACACTCGGTTAAAGGTTTCAGCATCCTAGATTCTGTTTTGACGAAGTTATTGAAGATATAAACTGATCATGTAGATATTTTGAAATTTGACATATGACTGTTCTGGTCGGTTTTTCTACTTATTTATTCGAATTTGTAAGTTTTGAACTGCATTTAACAATATCAAAATATATTTCTGTCAATGCTGTACAAATGGTTTAGTTTGCAAGTCCGAAGATAACGTTCAATACACAAAAATATCTTGTTCAAGCACATTTTGGTTGCAGACTTATACTTCAAGCATTTTTGGTTGCAAACTTTTGTGTTAATAATGTGGCATGCATATTTTTAGCGAGGAATAACTAATCATTTTTTTTAAAATAATTAGCAATATTAAGGCAATAATACCCGCTCATCTTATAAGAAATATATATACAAATTGTGCATGCGTGCAGATATATCCTAACACAGGGTCTTTCAAATAGATATAAAACACAATACAGTGTATGCTAAATTGTTCAGTTGTGTTTATCTTCATCATTTTTTCTCCTCGATATACTTCTTTTCTTTTTTACAAAGTCATAGGACTTTTTTATATCTTGGCATGACTAACTGTAAAGGAAAAGAAGAAAAAAATGGCAACAAACAGCTTCCATTATTGTTCTTTTTTGAGATTTGAAATAAATTTGATTATATAGTAGATAAAAACTATATTAACATTGACACAAGGGCA